CTGCAGAACTAACGGAATGCCTTGGAGCTGGAGTTCCAGCCATTGTGAGGCACCTGACTTTAGTGCTGAAATCTGAATTTTGGTCCTCATCATTGAGCAGCAAGTGCTCTTAACTCCTGAGCCACATGTCCAGCTCCGATCTCTGTTTAGTTACTTGTCTAAATGGATCTCTCACTGGTCCTGAAGCTCATCAGTGTAGCTAGGCTGGCTGGCCAAACTTCAGGTGGCCTCCACACCCCTCAAACAAGATACTTTTTGTATGGGTTTTGGGGAATCTGAACTCAGATTCTCGTGCTTGTGTGGTAGGATTTCATTCTAGCTCAGCCTGACTCAGAACTCACTCTATAGCCCAGACTGGTCTTGAACTTATGGCAACCCTCCTACCTCAGCCTCCCAAGAACTAGGTTTACAGATGTAAACTACCATGCCCAGTCTAACTGTCTGTCTGTCTACATATCTATCTGATTTTATGGGGAAGGCTATCCTATTTTGCACAGGCTGCTCCAAACTCCTGAGTTCAAGTGATTCTCAAGTCTCGATCAGCCTTCCTAGTGGTCGGACTTACCTCTACCACCTAACCTGCCTCAGAGGACATCTTGAAACTGAGATAGAGTCACTGTCTCAAAACTAAACAAAATAAAACTGAGATACTTGGACCCCAGCCTCAGAGTTTCCAGGTCTGTAGGTCTGTGGGTCCGGGCCTGAGAGTCTTTTCTATTTTATCAGGTTCCCAGGTGATGCTGAGGCACACACACCCAGGGACCACACTTTGCTGTTTTTTGTTTTTATGTTATGTGTATGATTGTTTGGCTTGTATATATGACTGTGCACCACATGCATGCAAGTGCCCACAGAGGCCATAAGAGCGCCTCCAGTCCCCTTGGGACTGGAGTTACAGCTGTGCTAGGAATTGAACCCGGGTCTTCTGGAAGAGCCTCCAGTGCTCTTGACCAAATAAGCGATCTTCGCAGTCCCTAGGGACTACTTTGGAAACCATTCGCCTGGGGAATAAAATCTGCGCTGGTTTTCAGCCTTTCCCAGCCTGCTGCTAGCTTACTTTGCAGTTTCATCCGCCCTTCCCCTTCCCTGCACACACCCAGGAGCTGAAGTTCTCACCTCTCTAAGCCAGCTGCTCACACCTCTGCATTTTATTCCTCTGTCTGGAATGTCATCTTCTGTTGACCAGCCCTTCCTGTCTGAGGCTCCCTGAAGCCCCTCTCTGCTCTCTGAGCTGCTGTTGAGTCATTCTCGGCCCCAGGTCCCTGGCAGCTTGCTCACACTCTTCTGAGCCTGCTCTTACCGCCTGCATCTCCACTGCCTGTCACGGGAGCCTTAGTCACCTGTGCTTCTAGAAACAGCTGTGGAGTAAGGGAGCAAACGTGTGATTGAGGAGGGAGAGCAGGTAAATGGAGTCAGTGGTACCCAGCCAGGTACCAGGGGGCCATTTGTGCCTGTTTCTCTTTGTTGAGTCTGGAGCCCTAGGCCAGGAGGGGACTTTACCTGCTGACCAAAGTCCTCTGACATTCATCCACGACATCTTCAACTGGAGTTCTTTCAGGAGCTGGCAGTCCAGGACCTGCTGTTGCACAAGCTTATCTCTCTGTGCTCACAGAGGCATCTGGGACTTTAGAAATATTTTTGGGTAGCAGATGCAGCCCTTCTAGGGCCAAGTAAGATGCGATAGACTTTTTTTTTTCCCATTTAGTCACAAAGTGTTGGGGTGGCTTCAAGTAAAAATTGGACAGTGGCTGGAACTTATTCCTTCTCTACCGAGGGATCCCAGTTTCCTCCCAATTCCACAAAGGAGGCCCGATTTGGCCCAGTGACACCAGACATAGCTGCCCGAACTGTATAGAGGTAAGGCTTAAGATGCAGCCCGGTTAGTAGCATGCTTACCTGTCAGGCACAAAACCCTGAGTTCCATCACCAGCACAGCATAAACGAGGCATGGTGGTGCATGCCCGTCATTCCAGCATGTGGGAAGAAGGGACAGGCAGACCAGATGCTCAGGGTCATCCCAAGAGTGAGTTTGAGACCAGGCTGGGATCCGTGAGATTCTGCCTTAAAAAAAAAAAAAAAAAAAAGAAGTGGGCTGGAGAGATGGTTCCACAGTTAAGAGCACTTGCTGCTCTTCAGTTCCCAGCACCCATGTCAGGCCACGCTTGACCCCTGCAACTTCAGCTCCATAGGATCTGACACCCTTGCCTGGCCTCTGAGGTCACTAAATTCATGTGCGCAGACACATTTGCATATAATTAACATTTTTAAATATTAAATAACAAGAGAACTGTCTGTGGGTGGTACTTCCTGGAAACAGTAACAGTCTGTACCAAGGCTGCAGACACCCTGTAGGGCATCACTTCTCTGTGAGCCTGCGTGTCCTCTGTGGCCTTACAGGAGAGGCCAGCTCCCTTCCTGGTCTCTTGGATGGAATAGTAAACCCTCACAGCTGCTCCGTCCTGTCGGTCCCCAGCACACTGCCTTCTAAGTGCAGCCTCTACCTTCCTCCTCTCATGCGTCTACCCAATTTGGGGCCCTTGGATCTCACCTCCTCCACAAAATTCTCTGTTCCTGAAACTCTCCCATGCCACCTACCATACTTATGGACAGCCCTAATGAATATGGAATGAGTGGTTAGAATTAGGGGTTTGTGAGCAAGGCTGCCATGTTGGTACAAAATGGCTCTGCCTAAGCGAAGGAAATGCTATTCACACAGACTGTTCTGGGCCAGGGGTCGCACCCAATTCCATAGCCAAGAAACGCTGCTCAACCACTTGGACCAAGCACGGGTGTGTAACATCCTAAGCCTCCGCGTTCTTGTCCGTGAAGAATGGGATGTTGTTGGTGTCCTACCATATGCCCAAACAAGGTTAAAACAGCAGCTGGTACCTGGCTAATGTTTACAGAGTGCTTAGTTTCATTATTATTGTTGGAGTTACTGTCTTTCTTTCCTGTGTGGGTGTTTGTTTGTTTGTTTTTCCTCTCTGGAAGATATGAACAGCCTGGGGACAATGAGTCATTACCTGTCCCTGCTGCCCCTGATAGCAGGCAGAGAGCCTGATGTCGTTCCCTCAGGCCCTTCCTCCATCTTTATGTTTGCCCGTGTATACTCTTATTAGTCAGGCCTTTCTGTTTACAAATGACCCAACTTAAGTTAACTGAAACCTTTATAGGCTGACCTAAGTAGCAGTCTGTCGGGAGGTCATGTGACTCCAGCTGCTCCACTTCCTGCACTGCTGCTGAGCTGGCCTAATTCCCAGGGGTTCTCCTACATGCAGGAGAACAGGCCACTGGGTGCCTTTGTTTCCTGTTTGGGCTCCCTCCTTTCCACTCTCTTCCTTTTTCTTTCCTTTCTGTTGTCAGACAGAGCCTCATGTGGCTGATGCTATCCCCAAACTTGATATCCAGCCAGTGAAGACCCTGGTCTCCTGATTTAGCTACTTCTACCCCCAGAGTGCTGGGATTACAAGGCTACACCATCTTGCTCAACTTCAATTGTTTTTGTTTTTACAAGGTCTCAAGTAAGTCAGGCTGTCCTTGAACTCCTGACTTTCTTGCCTCTAATTCTCAAGGGCTGGGAATGCAGGCTTGTACAACCATGCCAGACCCCACAGAGCAATTTTAAGGACCACCTGAGTGACTCTAGTTGAGTCAGTCAGTTTTGATTGACCAAGGGTTGATTGACCGTCATTATGATTGGCCAAGGGTTTGACAGTGACATTCCATAGCAGAGAGATGCTAACCTCCTACTTTTGTTTTAAAAGATAGGGTCTATATCCTGAACCTGCAGCCCCCCTACCTCAGCCTTCTGAGAGCTGGGATTGCAGGCTCTTGCCACTACAAAGTTCATCTCTCTTTGTGGCTCAGTTCGTAAGTCGTTTCCTCAGTAAAATGTCTCCTCCTTTCCTATAGCAAATTGCCAATTCTTCAGCTCTAACCCTAGCCTGGGGAGAAGGCACAGGGAGGAGAGCACAGTCTGTGCATCCCTCGGGCAGGCTCCCTGCTCAGGCTATGGCACAATGCTGGCAGCCCACCCTGCCTTTGCTTTGTTACCTGCCTGAATGCTGATGGGGTCGGCTTTATGGGGCTGCATGACTGGAACTCTAAGGGGGTCAGGCATCACCATGGTCCAGGCCTGTAATCCCAGCAGATGAGGCAGAAGCAAGAAGATTGCCACAAGTTTAGAGCTAGCCAGAGGTCTGTCTCCAAAGAAAACAAAAACCAAACAAAACAAAAAGCTAAAACAAGATCCCAGTAGGGCAATGGTTCTCACCCTTCTTAATACAGTTCCTCATGTTGTCCTGACCCCCAAGCATAAAACTATTTTTTTTATTTTAATTTTTTATTGAAAAAATTTCCGCCTCTTCCCTGCCTCCCATTTCCTTCCCCAAAACTCTTATTGCTGCTTCAGAACTGTAATTTTGCTACTGTTATCAATCATATTGTAAATATCTGAGTTTTCCAATGATCTTAGGCGACCTCTGTAAAGAGGATGTTGAGCCCCAAAGGGATCGCCGCCCACAGGCTGAGAAACACTGCAGCAGTTACCTTAACCCTAACAGTTGTGTCGGAAATGGGGACAATAGCCCAGTTTGGGCTTAGATAAGACACGGGAACATCTGGGATAGACAAGGCTTGTTGCTTTTTGGAAGGCCACGGCCAGCTGGCTTCAGTAACAGACACAAATGAACCATTTGGCTGATCCTTCCGGCTACCCACAGCTGAGACACCTCAGTGAGAGCTGGCCCTGTGGAAGCCTGAGGGAATGGGTCCTTGGTGGCTCTGAAGGCATCCCTGCCCAAGGAATCCCAGGACCCACCCTCCTGCCACCATGCCCTCATCCACAGCCTCACTGTCTGCCTCAGCTCCTGCTGGCTCAGAAAAAAATGCTCGAAAATAAATGTGGGTGAGTGGTAACAAGCTGAGAGCCACCAAACAGGCCTTTCTGAAACATTTTAACTATCCAAGCCCTTCCTACACAGTAACAGATACTCAAAAACTGTAGGTGTTTTTGAAATTTTTTTAAAAACAAAACACAGCAGTCACTTTATTCTGTACTTTACAAACCCACAAGGAAGAAGTCCTCGAGGGGAAGGTGTCGAGAGGCTGAAGAAGGAAAAGGGACAGCCAGGAACAAGCCCGCTCATCTGGGGCCCCAGGCAGATGCGAGGTCCAGGCCTGCACAGTAAGGCCTTGCATGCTGGCTGCACAAAAGCTCAGAGAGTGGCCTGAGAGTATTTCAGCCCTGAGACTGTTGTCATTTGATGGGCAGCCCCCAGCAACGGCTTCAAAGGAAGTGGACTTTTGCCAGGCCAGGGAAGTGGCCAACAGCAGGCAAAGCTACCCGTCTAGGAGCTTCAGAATGCTCTCCCGCTCCTTCAGAGTCTTCCAGGCCTGGTCCTTTTCCTTCTTCGTGGGGGTGCGTTTCTTCTGCCGGGCAGCCATGATCTTGCGAAAGGCATCCATGACCTCATTGTCGGCCATGCGGACCCGCTGCCTCAGCTCCTGCCGGCTCACCTCTTCCTTCGCCAACCTGGTGGGGGGGGAGGGGGGGCAAGTGTCATGGTTACCTCATCCCAGAGTTTGTCTCCTCCTTCTTTCGGACCGTGCCTCCTCACAATCCCAGCTGCAGCTGGCACTCCTTGGCCTGTTTCATTCACAGCCAATGTGTATAGATGCAAAGCCACACTGATCTGGGACTGTGTGTATGGCATTATTTAAATGTCCCAAAATGTTAATGCTGCTATAGTTGGGGCAGCATGTGGGACCACACAGGAAATCTCTTACCTTTCTGTCAATTTTGCTGTGACCCTAAAAATACTTTTTTTTTTTTTTTAGATAGTTTCACACTGTAGCCCAGGCTGACCTGAAAATTACTATAGAGTCTAGGCTGGCCCTGAACTTGAGCCAATCTTTCTGCTTCCACCTCTCAATTGCTAAGATGGAAGGTGTGAGCCACTATCCTTAGCTTAAAAAATAAAACCCAGGAGCTGGAGAGACAGCTCAGCATGCCTGGTGCACGGACATACTTGCAGGCAAAACACCTACACCCATAAAATAAAAAAAATAAATAAACATTAAAAAAAAACCCATAAGCACTGGACAGTGGTGGTGCACATTTTTAATCCCAGCCCTCGGAAGGCAGAGGCAGGCTGATCTCTGTGTTGGAGACCAGCCTGGTCTACAGAGCGATTCCAGGACAGCCAGGGTTGCACAGAGAAACCTTTTCTCAAAAAAAAAAAAAAAAAAAAAAAAA